TTCATAGTACTATTGGTTAAAGTAGTATTTATTAAATTATTTTCATATAATAAATGTTTGGGGGTTAATGAAAAATCTAAAACTTCGTGAAGGGGTCAATGTGCTGCAGAGTTTGGGGACTCCTCCATTAATCAAACCAACCCTGCCCTGATTTTTATATGTTGTATTTCTTTCTTCCAGGGTGCCTGTGTGGAAATTGAAGCCATTGCCATTTTGGGGCCCCTTCAAGATGCCTCAGCAGCTAAAATCTAACAGCACTGTGTTTTCTTTTGTCACGGTCATTCTCGCTACCTGTACGATTCAGTTCTGCTACTGATTCTCTCAAAATAATGATCATTCCAAAACTGTGAATCTGACTCTTTTTGGTAGATTCTAGCATTTAGGTGTATTTGGGTGGGCAAATTGACTCACAGGCACCATTGTACCATTAAGGCTGTCGGTTTATTCAGGGTATAGGAGTGTTGCTCAACCTCAGCAACTTTAAGATGTGTGCTGGCTGGGGAATTCTGGGAGTTTATATATCTTAAAAGTCGCTGAGGTTGAGAAACACTGGGGTATAGTATGAATGAAGGTCATTACAAGACTGAATACTGCAAGCTACTTAAAAGCATATTTTGAGAGAAAAAGCCAATAGAACTGCTTCAGATAAACTTGACATAGATAATTTTAGAGGGTAGATTCTATAAAATTCAGGAGTCAAAATAAACTTCTAGCTGTGCACTACTTTAAGCAGAATTGTATACTTTAAAACATTAGAAGAAAAACCCATGAAAAATAAATCAAATTGCTGTAACACATATCAATGTTGATAACATCAGTTTTGGCTTCTTTTGAGAAAATTAGTCATTAAACTTGGCAGTTCACATTTTGCCTGATTAACTAGATAAGCTAATGTTAAAAGCTGCAACAAATTTTGTAATGAAAGACATGATTATGTACTTTGTGTAATGTTTATCCAACTAATTTTTCTTACAACCAATTGGCTTTTGGGGAGAAATGCTTAATAATAAAACAATCACATGACAACATCACATTTGAATTTTTTTCTCTGATTGTTATAAAAGTGTATTTGGGCTTTCCAAGTAGACCTTCTAATAGCAAGTTTAGGGATGTGCTCAATTAAGAAGATTCAGTTTGGATCCTAATTCAGTATAGGGGAAAACAGCCTGACTGTCCGGATTGGAATCTCAGTCCAAAAATGTTCAGACTGTTTTTTTCCTCCACTTTTTGATGATAGCTGATAATAAATTGCTATAACTATTTCTGTGACGGATAGTTCTTGATGGATGTTTTCACAAATAACCTTTTGAGTGCACCAAATTCAGAAAAATAGGTATTTCAATTAGAGCAGTAGTGTTATGCTAGGCACCTCTAATTTGTTTTTCAAAATGCTCAATGATTTCTTGCAATATTAGCATAAAATTTTTAGACAATGACACTCCCTAGGGAAACAAGTCTGCCAACTTTCATGTGACTAGAATCTGGGATTGATATTATGCAACTTTTCCCATGATTGTATTGCATCTATCTCATAGCCGTTGATATGCAAGCAAGAGTATGTTGGCTTGCAAGATGGGATCCAAATTTAGAGATTCTAGCTTGCATAGAATAGCATGAGCATACTTGAGAGAGAACTGGGCTTTGGCTGTACTTGGGACATACTGGCCAAAATGTCAGAAAACAGTAGTATTAACTAGTACTGTCCTTTAATTTCATGCCTCTAATTTCTGTGGTTTACTTTTATGTGCTTTGCTTAACATAGCTTATCCTGACAGGGAATAGTATGATAGGTATGTATGTAAAGGATGGTTTTTTCAGGGAGGGGTTGTCTTTGAGTCAGTCCTGACTACTGGCAACTGCCTGGACAATTGATGCAGGGTTTTTTGCAACATTTTCAGAAGTGGTTTGCCATTGCCCTCTTTCTAGGACTGAGAGAGAGTGGTTGGCTCACAGTTACTTAACTTGCTTTGACCCTAAGGCAGAACTAGAATTTGCAGTCTCTCTATTTCTGGCTTGGTGTCTTTAATCACTATATCAAACTGGCTGTCATGTAAAGAAATACAGATAGTCCTCACTTAACAACCACAATTGGGACTGACAACTCCATTGCTGAGCAATGCGGTCGTTAAGTGAAACATCACATGACCGTGCCAGACTTATGTCAGTTCTGCTATGGGTCTTAAGCAAATCACCCATGGTTGTTTAGCACGATATCACATGACCACGACTTGTCAATTATTGCTGGCTTCTCAACTGACTGTTGGAAGCCAGCTGTGAAACTCACAAATGGTGATCACATGACTGTGGGATGCTGTGACTCTTGTAAATGTGTGCTGGTTGCCAAGCACCCAAATGGTGATCAGGTGACTGCGGGGATGCTGCGATGGTCATAAGCTCGAGGACCAGTTCTAAAGCTACTTTTTCAGTGCTGTTGTAAGTTTGAATGGTTGCTAAACAGGGTGGTAGTTAACCCAGGACTACCTGTAGATCTGGCATAAAGGGATGCAGAGAGGATTTGTACGTAGACAAGCCTGGGGAATTCTTGTTCCTGAATACTATAAATCCTGTCCAAAGCATACAGGTAAGATGAACAGCATAAGAATCAAATGATATCACTGCAGAAGGCTACTACTGGCCATCCACCCAGAGGAACTGCAACACCTAAAGGATGCTTATAAATTGTTCTGCATCATTCAGGAGGGAAGTATTGAGTGATGTCCCTCAGGATTCTGTCTTTGGCCTGGTGCTGTTCAACATCTTCTTTTAAAGACCTGCAAGATGGAATGGAAGGGATGCTGATCAAATTTGCAAATGCTATAAAGTTAAGGGGACTGACTTTATGGATAAAGTCACTATTCAAAAGGCTTGAATACTGGGCCAAATCCAACAGAATGATTAACCACAACAAGTGACCTGCATCTGGGTAGGAAAGATCAGATGAATAGGTACAGGGTTGGACAGAACTGATTGGGTGGGAATGCATGTGAAATGCATCTAGGAATACCATGGCCCACTAGCTGCACACAAGGAAATAGTGATATGGCAGCTAAAAAAATAGTCTTGGTTGCATTAACAAAAGCATTGTACCCAGATCTTTTTTCTTTTTCCACACAGCATGATAATGACCAACTGGCTGAGACTATAACTGAATATTAGGAAGCATTTCCTAATAGAGCTGTTAAGCAGAACAGTGATGGACTCTAACTGGAAGTTTTCAAATGGGGGCTGGATGGCCACCTATTTGGGATGCTGGCTGGGGGAATTCTGGGAGTTGAAGTCCACACATCTTAAGGCTGCTGAGGTTGAGAAACACTAGTCTATCAGCTCCAAAACCTTTCTATTTTCCCAAGCTGCACCAACTATGTAGTAATATATTTTCTACCATACCCATAGAAGGGTTACAGCCCCCATATTTGGTCAATATTACCACATTCCACAAATATATTATTTATTTCAAAGTTTAAGGTTACATTTGAGACTTCTGAGGAGGCATAAGACCAGCCACATTACACATATAGCAGCAAAGAATAAATTTGTTTTTGATAATGAGTGAAGCACAGCTCTGTTCAAGTTTATTGGTTGCATAGTTTAGAGAAGAATATTGTAATCAATCATTCATTTGATTTTCAGCCTGACATTTCTCTCAACTGTTCAGCTGTGAGATCTGTACTGCATTAAGTCTCATTCTTTAAAACAAAGGCTTATAATATTCATTTTTTGTTTTACTATAACAGAAAAGATCTATAAAATAGAATGTGCATATATTTGAAGAGGAAAATACTTAAAATGTGTTCCATCAATGCATAATCATTGCAAACTGAAACCAGTCATTCATTTTGTTGTAATTTTTACTTTCTTAATTTATAATTAAAATCCTAGCCATATTTAAATTTCTTTTAAAGAAATTATTTTTTAAAAAATGTGTTACCATTATCATTGTGATGTAATCAAATATATCTTGTGCTTGTCAGTTATTATTAGATGCAAGGTAATTGTTTTTTTCATATGCTTTATCTCCTCCAATTTTTAAGTGTCATTAATCCACACTAGTTCTCATCCAAGTGCTTTGCAGATCACAGTCACTATTTCCATTACTTTCAGGAAAAGGTAATTTTGTATTTCCTTCCCTATACCATATAAAGAAATAAGGTCAAACTTTAATGCTATAAATCAGCCTAACCCCATCTGGTCCCCTTCAAGATGGGGATTACAATTCTTATATGTTTACAAGAAACTTCACCCAAGAGATGTGCTAATGTAATTAAATAATCCATGGCTGCAAAAACTCCACTGGAATTTAGTTATTCTCACTCTATTTTAGACCATGTACAGTACATTCTTAGATCTAAGATTACCTGTACTCACTTTTACAATTTATATGATTTGTGCTATATTATCCTTCATATTTTCTAACTGAAGTAAGTAAAGGTGATCTGTAACTCATAGTTCTATTGAAATGATAGCAGAAGGCACTTTCTGGCAGATGTGATGGTTTAACATTGCAGTTCCTCAATGGTGCCTTGGCAACTTGACTTCCCCATTAAAATTCCTTCAAATGTTTTTCCCTTAGTACTCAGTAGTTGTGATAAGTCCATACAAGCTTTTATAAAAACTAGATTTTTGTCAAACAGGAATATAAACATTAACTGAGCAACTAAGAATGAGGTCCACCCAGAAGCCATAAAATCTAGCCGTGAAGTCCAGCCAGAAGCCATGGGTCATTCTTCTTCATTAGCTGCTTCTGTAATATAATGGTAGAATTTAAAAAGTGATAAAGATCTTAGACGAATATAATCTTTGAAGTAAAGGCATATGTAGGTACCATGAAAATTTGCTAGTGCTTTTTATGTCAAAAAAATGCCTACAATGGAATAAGCTTTAAAAAAAGATAAATTTCAGATTGGAAATGGAGATCCTTTGTTAACCAGAGAAAACTGAATAGATAACCTAGAGATCCAGTTAGATCAAGGATGGATAATTTGCAGCACTCCAAACTTTTCTGAAAGAGAGCCAGTTTGATGTAATGGTTAAGGCAACACGCTAGAAATCAGGATACTGTGAGTTCTAGTCTTGCCTTAGACACAAAACTGGCTGGGTGACCTTGCGCCAGTCATTCTCTCTAAGCCCTAGGAAGCAGGCAATGGCAAACCATTTTGGAAATCTTGCCAAGAAAATGGCAGGGATTTGTCCAGGCAGTTGCCAAGAGTCAACACTGATTTGGAGTCACCCAAAATTAAAAAAACTTTTCTGAACTACAGCTTCCAGCACCTCTACTCAGCATGATCAAAGACCAGTTCCTACCTTGGAGGACTATATGTTCTCACCAGGTAAAGGAACTCACTCCCTGCACATCACCAAGACAGAAGATAATTTGAAGGGCTTAACAATCAGCACAAGTGGAAACAACCCAGTTTGTAGTTCATAAAAAAGAAATTTGAAATAAAAACTAATGTATAAAGAAAAAAAAAACACATACTGCATTACTCTGAGCTCAGTCAATAAAACTTGTCCTATAAAAACTGTGAAATCTTTCAGGTTCTCTCTTGTAAGAGCAGAAATGTGAATACTCAAAAAAGAATATTTTTCCTAAAAAACAAAACAGAAAGATTATGAAGAGATGCTGCTTGCCTTAGATTTTAGCACATATTTCAATTTGTAACAAAAATTAGAAGTATTTTTAAATGCTTTATAATGCTAAACTAATTAACAGAGAACCAACTGGTGTAATATATTAAAGTCATTTAATATCTGTAAAGAATGTTAAAAATTAAACTGCCAAGTTTGAAATAAAAAATGGCTTTTTCCATTCTTCAAAGCTTCCACACATTTTACATCTCTAATTAAGAGTA